GGGAAAAGGAAAATGAGCTGATTCCGGGAACCCAAGAGGAAAACAAATTTTGGGAATGATGAGGGCAACAAATGTATAGGTGTGCTTTACACAATTGATCTATGTATTGTGATGAATTGTATGTGCCCCAATAAAATGATTTTTTTAAAATTCCCTTGAGCTTAAGGAAAATAAAGTTCTTGAATTGAAAAGTAGGAGTTAGGTACAAAAGACTATAGGAAGAGTTTACTGACACCGCCCAGCAGAGCTATCCATACCAATGAACAAGTGAGCGATTTCTGATGCGTTAGAGGAATGAGTGACATTCAGAGTGGCTTCCCCCCAGATAAGAAAACTGGCCAGAACCTGTTTGTTCAGCCCCCCAAACACCAGTGTATGAGAGACAATTCTGTCTGCATTTAAAATAGGAATAATTACCAAATAGAGTCTAATATTACTGGAGTCGGGTGGGGAAAATCAAAGCGGGGCTAAAACCTTTATTGATGAGGGGGAAATAATCTGCCTAATAAATAACCCTGACACTCCATAGTCCTTTCTCACTGGTCCCGAGATCAAAGCAACCTTTTGAAAGCCTGTCAAAAGAGAGACAAGTGAATCTGGCAATCAAGCGCCATCATACAGATTGATGTACTGTTTAATGACTTTGTTTGAAAAATCCAAAGGGCTTAAATAAAATCTGAAGCCAGTTTTGACTTGTTCTAAGTGACGTCTCCAGAGGACTCTCGGGCATGGCAGCAGACATCCTCAGCTCCTTCCCCTGAGGTGGCATTCCCGGGTCACCGCCATCCATCGGGCTGAGCAGTGTCAGGGAGCCAGTCTGGGAGCACAGAGGAAAAACGTTTCCTTTAGAAGCCCATTGTTTCCGCATTCACAATGTTAAACACCACAGTTCTGAAATCTTTCATCATGGGTTCCCACTAGCAGAAAAGGATTCATAACACTCCTGCTCTGTCACTCTTGGGGAATGATTTTGAAAAAGGGAATTAGGCAGTAGCCTTCCAGTCAAAAGGTAAGGACTCCATCCCCTTTCTTGTTAAAGTACAAACCTGACTGTCCCTTTCAAACTGGATGCTTAATGAAGAGTAAGTCTTAAAAGCATGTGCGCTTGTTAGCGCAGAAAGTCTCTCTGTTTGGTCCACGGCCGATTCCCTCTCTTCAGGGGTACTAACTCTTGAACATTAGCTGAAGCGCAGCACCTGGACGAGAGGGTCGCTCCCCCTCACCTCTTACCTGGCCTCTGGGAGTTAATCTTTTTTAGGAGACTTCACATGTCCTTGTTTGAATTTTGCTCCAGCAGCAGGATCTGTTGTTGCTCCTTTGTAAACATAAACAGATTTGTTAGTGTGTCAAAGCAAGCAGGAGCTTGGGAATTGGGGAGGTGAGTGTGAAATCCTTAACATCTGATTCAAATCTCTCTCTCTTGTAGGTACAGACAATCCCTTGCCTGGGCCAAGTAATAATCATAAGGCCAACACAAGGATTTTCTCTGCACCTCAGAAAGCCTAACATCACGTTGATGCGTACTCTAGTCTACCCTATAGAACTGGGTAGGACTCCCTCTGATTTTCAGAGATGGTAACCCTTTAGGGGAGTAGAAAGCCCTGTCTTGCTCCAGCAGAGCTGTGGATGCTTTTGAACTGCAGACCTGTGGTTAGCAGCTGACTGCACAACCACTACCCCACCAGAGCTCCTTCTGTCTCTAGTAGCCTTCATTTGCTATTGAAAGGAGGCATCTCGGGTGACCATTTAGATAGCTGCCCCAGCTTTCAAAACTTAACACTTTGCACTTCTCAGCCAGCGCTCAGCCTGGCAAGGGTGGCATCGGCCTTATGGAAGGCTTCAAAGCCCTCTCTGCCAGGGTTGTCTCCCACCACCGCTGTACTGCACCCTCCGTCGTGCCTCTCTGTCTCCGTCGGGATGCAGACAGGAATTCATGGAGTAGGGGCACTTCACACTAGAGCCTGGTTTGGGCCATACAGTAAGGGACTGGATTAGCAGAGACTTTTTTTCTTTTACTCATTTAAAAATAAAACGGCCCCCTTTCTAATTAGTATTTTATGGGAAGGGGGAGTCACCCAACCATACAAATAAATTTTGAATTAAACTATCAGAGAGCAGAGGACTAGAAAGGGCTTCTAGTGCTAACTTTATCCACAGACATGCATGCTTTACTTCTGCTGGCACAGCCAGCAGCACCCAGCCCTTGGCTGCTCCGTACCCCTGCAGCACAGTTACCTGAGGTACGGAGAGGGAGTGCTAGTCCACCTGAAGCTGCTTGACTCGGTCATGCCCACAAGCTCCTGACATAAAAGCAGAGCTCACCGTGGAAAAGGCGTGCACGGAGCAACCAGTACACCCGTTTTTCTCCCCTGGATTTCAACTCCCAGTGACTCCATCTGTGGCCAGTAGAATCCCCCTCCCTGCTCACTGTAAATCAGCACATCGAACCAACGTACGTCTAGATCCTAAGACGACGTGCTCAGAAGTGATTATGTCCCTCAGTCTGAAGGTACAGGGGAAGCTATTTCTCAGCTTCCCCGGCCCAGTAAATAAGTCCCTTTAAACAAAAAGGCCCAAGACAGTGAGTGCCGTTATATACTTGCTGACCAGGTGAACTTTAGTATCATCGTGGGGCCCCAGAAAGAGCCACGTCTTTCTAAAATAACCTCTAAATATCTATTGGTAGCCTTAATGGCCCCATTTCCCGAGATAAGACAGAGATTTGGTTGACTCTTCCTATTAACTGAAATGGACAAGCTGCTTAACTTGTCTGTACCTGTCTCCTGCCCTGGAAAAATGGAACCTTCGTGGTACCTGTTTACTGTGTCATTGTGGAAAACAACGACAACAACAACAAGCACTTACAAGTGAGCCACCTATGTGTGGGCTATTGGTGATGAACAAGGGCCTTGTTTAGGATGCCCGCATGTCCAACATCAGCAAAATAGCTACGTTATGGCATGTTTTGCCACAGGACACTATGTTTTCAAAGTCCTCCTGCCATGAGGGAATGTTCTCAATGTCTTGGGTGGAAAAACTAGGATATGTAACTGGACTTGGACTCTAATCCCAAGAAAAGGAAAACAAAACAGGAGAACTATAAATAGAAAAGGAAATTGGGGTAAGGAATACCTGTATCAATCAACATGAATAGCAGCCATGGCGGGGTAGTGGGATTATGGGTGCTTTTTATTCTCTTCACATTTTTTTTCTCCATTAAAAAAAAAAAGATGTCTACACTAAGAATGAATTCATCTACAAAACAAACCACCTTCAAATAGTATTTTTCAAGAAAGCATTGCTACAGGCCTGCTTCAAATGCTTGGAAACTTAAAGCTCTTGGGCCCAAATGATTGCACACTGACCCATTCAATTGCCAGTGGGCAGGGCACCAATGTCACAAAGTCAGATGCCAACAATGCCTGGCACTTGGGTCCCTCCTTGCTCGAATGCCAGCCTTCCGCTCTGCCTTCTGTGCACATCCCAACTGCTTTCTATGCTTTGGCCAAGTGCACCAGTTGTTTCCAGAATCTGCATTCTGATTGTTTATGTCTCTGATCACGACTTCAGCTTTCGCCAGTTGCTTGACACACAGCGCCTCCTGAAAGCTCACCACAAATGCCTTCCCCTCCAGCAAGCTTCCTCCCTCTCAAACCATCACCTCTTCCCTGAAGCCTCCTGGGCACTGAGGACTTCCCTCGTAATCTCAGGGCTTTGTAATATCCAACTGTAAGACATCAGATGCGATTATTGTCCGATCTGTCCCCTTTGACTTTTGAGAGTCCACAGGCCCAGGGAGCAACAATAGCAGTTGGATGAAAGAACCGTTCTTCTTGAGCACCCACTGTTATCAGTATCATAGAGGACCACCTGCCCTCTTATTCTCACAAGACTCTGCAGTTGGCAAGGATTGTGGCTACACACACACACACACACACACACACACACACACACACACACCCTTCCCCTAACTGTGACTCTATAATCAGGTGGTATACATGGGAAGGGCTATTGGATACTTAACTCAAAGAGAGCTGAAGACAAAAGTTTTACAGGGCTGCGCACCAGCTAGATGAAAGGCCATTAATAAGATTTATGTGGAAGGAGAGTGACACCAAGTGGCCTAATCTACTGATTGTTAACCTAGAAAGAGCAACCCCAGAGCCATGACAATTTTTTAAGAGAGACTCCGTTACAACTAGACTGAGGCCGACCAGAATAAAGGTGCTGGATGCTAGATGGACTTTCTGTCACGTATGGATCTGTTTCCATTCTGCACAATCAGTGCTTGTCTTCAAGCCTGAAACATTTCCAAGAATTCAGCTTCCCTCAAGATGTTAGTCGGTCTACCTCCTCAAATGGGAGGGAATCAAGGTGACTCATTTAAAATGGTAGTGAGGTTTTTGTGTTGGGCGGCTAACCACAAGGTCGGCTATTCAAACCCACTTGGTGCCTGCCCCAGTAAAGAGTTACAGGCTTGGCACCCTAAAGGGTCAGTCTATTCTGTTCTACAGGGTGATTACAGGTGGGAGTCCACGCAATAGCAGTGGCCAACACGGGCCACCTCATGAAAAGAAGCAAAACATTGTCAGCCTTTCCGGTGGGAACGTACTCGAAAGATAACTGAGCAAGCGCTGTCTTGGATGGACATGGATAGAGTCCAGGACCTTCACTTGGTGACGGGGCATCAACCCAAAGGGAAGCAACAGCTGCAAGCATCAATGAACAATCAGAACCTAGAAGGCACCAAACGTGAATCTAGGAACATTGGAAGTGGTAAAAAATGAAATGGAACGCATACAAATTAATATTCTAGGCATCAGCAAACTGAAATGGACTGAACGGGCCATTTTGAATCAGAAAATCACATTTCTTGCATGAAACAATCAGTAGGATGGCACTGTGGTCATTGTCCAAAAGGACATTTCAAGATCGGGAAGTACGATGCTATCTGTGACAGGATTATATTAACACACATTCAAGGAAATCCATTCAATACAACTATTATTCACATTTATGCACCAACCACCGCAGCTGGTGATGAACGAATTCTACCAACATCTTCAGTTGGAAATCGATCAACATGGAATCAAGATGATTGATAATTACTGGCGATTGGAATGCAGAAGTTGGAAGGAACATTAGCTGGAAATAGGGCCTTGGTGATAGAAACAAAGCTGGAGATTGAATGACGGAATTTTGCAAGACCGACGATGACTTCATCACAAATGTCGTTTTCCAGCCACACAAACAGCAACTATCCATGTGGACTTCTCCAGACGGAATATACAGAAATCAAATGGACTGCCTCTTTGGGAACACGTGATGGAGAAACTCAAAGTCAGCAGTGAAAACCTGGCCAGGGGAAG